ACTACATTTATTTCTAGAAGCATTTTGGCTGTAGAGCAGTGTTATTTGCAGAGTGCACGGATGAGTCCCTACATTCCCTGAAGGGTGTTCGAGTACTCTGCTCTCTTTGCATCTATAGGCCAGTGCTGAAGAGATGACTGGGGAAATAGCAATACCCCTGCGATCCTGACCGCTGTTTGCTCCTCACTTACGGTACAACACACAACACTGTTGACAGAAGCTAGACTAACAAATTTATTAGAGCATAAGCTTTCGTGGAAGTGGGCTGTAGTCCACGAAAGCTTATGCTCTAATAAATTTGTTAGTCTCTAAGGTGCCACAAGTACTCCTGTTCTTTTTTATTTCATGCTTCTTTCTTAAGGACTGCCTGTCTTCCTTCTGGACTATTCTTGAATTCTTATGTTTGAGCAAAAAATACAGTTCTTACTCTATGGTACTATCATTTTAGATTCAGTTGTGATAAAAAATAAATAGCTGAAATAGGCAGATCTTCCTTTTACAATTTCATCTTCAAAGTAGTATTGAGTGTCAGTGAATGCAATGAGTAATAAAAAATTAGAAGTATGGTAATAATAATTAAACAACTGCATTGCCTTATTTTGTTTAGGAGAATCCATCCTCAACATACAGGATTCTGAAGATTATTCACCTTCAAGATCACCATTATTTTCTATAGTTTTCAGAGTTATTTGCCAAGGATAGTGTTTCAGTCACATCATGTATGTCACATAGCCATAGTATATCATTGGTAGCAAAAAGAAAAAAATCTCGATCATCCAGAAACAACCATAAATAAGTTTGTGATAAGAACCAGCAGATTAACCAAAAAAAAAAAAAAAAAAGAAGGTAATTGATGAAAAAACTGCCTGGTTTGTTTATGCAACAAACTCTCCTTTCCGTATGATTGAGAACCCATACTTCATTAACACGGTTCAGTCATTAAAACCAGGATACAGTCCACCCAACAGAGCAGATGTCGCAAGCAAATTGCTGGATAAAGTGTATGAAAGAGAAATTGAGCAGTGTGCAAAAGGTCTAGAGGGTGAAATTGATAACCTGAGTCTTGACGGATGGAGAAATGTCCACCATGATCCTGTTGTGTGCGCTTGTGTGACAACAGAAGAAGGGAATGTCTTCCTTACAGTAACAGTGGATACGTCAGGAAACGAACACACAGCAGAATACTTACAAGTATCAGTAAAAGCTATAACAAATTGTGAAAAAAAATTCAAATGTCTAGTACGCAGCTTGGTCACAGACAATACTGCAAATGTATCCAAGATGAGAAGAAATTTAGAGGAGAGTGAAGAGAGTCCCAAGCTAATAACATACGGTTGCAGTGCTCATTTGATGCAGTCCAAGCCAAACACTTCAGTCTTCCAGAAATAAAGGCTAATATTGTTGAAATTGCAAAATACTTCCATAACAACCACTTTGCAGCAGCGGCTCTGAAGAAAGTGGGAGGAACCAAGCTAACTCTTCCACAACACATGCGATGGAACTCAGTAATGGACTGTTTTAGCACTATATCAAGAACTGGCCTAATCTGATGGCAGTTTGTGAAGAAAATCATGAAAAAAAATAGATGGCACTGTCACAGCCAAAGTTCTCAAGACGGGGCTTAAGAGAAACGTTGAACACATTTTGAGTACCCTGAAGCCTATTTCTGTAGCCTTGAACAAAATGCAAGGAAATAGCTGTTTTATTGCGGACGCTGTTGAAATCTGGAAGGAACTGAGTGAGATCTTAAAAAGAGAAATATACAATGACAGAGTTAAATTACAAGCATTAAAAAAACGAATCGGACAAGCACTATATCCAGCTCATTTTCTTGCAAATATTCTCAATACTCAGTACCAGGGTCAAACCTTAACTGCTGAAGAAGAGTTGGCTGTGACATTGACATCCAGCAATTATCCCTCCATAATGCTAACTATAATAAACTTCAGAGCTAAGGGTGAACCATTCAAGAAATATATGTTTGCTGATGATGTTTTAAAGAAAGTCACACCAGTGAACTGGTGGAAGTCACTTAAGCACTTGGATTCAGAGACTGTTGAAGTGATAATCTCACTTTTAACAGCAGTGACGTTGTAGAACGAATATTTTCTTCCTTTGGACTAATTCATTCCAAATTGAGAAATCTTTTGGGACCTGAAAAAGTGGGAAAGCTTGTTTTTCTTTTCCAGATTATGAACGAACAGGAAAACGAAGGTGAAGACTACTTAGTTAGCTGCAGAAGTCAATATTTTAAGTTTCTCATGTTGACCTGGCTGACATAGTCGATTTAATTTTTGTTTTTTAAAAAATATTTCATTTAACTATTTTAGTTAAAAACAATTTTAACCAAAACAAACATGATTTTAAAAAACTTGAATGTTTAACTAAACAAGCGTATGAATTTTTGAATTTTGTTAAAATATGTTTGCTGTTGAAGAAAAAAAATCCAGAATACATGTTGTTGTTTTAGTTAAATAAAACAATTTAAATGTCAGTCTGGTGATGTTCTCCTAATACAGCATGGCAAGAAAATCCTCCAAATATTAATGATTAACCTGTTGAATTGGAGATAGTTCACCTCCCAATGACTTCATACATATCTGCTTCAGTTAACTTAGGTAAATGAAATAACCAATCATTCATTTTCTGATATAGCTGTAAAACTAATCTGAAAAGTTTTCAAAATAAATCACTTTAAAAAAGGTATAGTGTGTACCTTCTAAAAATGAAACCTACATATTCTTCACAACTCAGAGATAGATGTATTAAAGTTATAATAACCAACAACAATGCACTTTTATGTAGAAATCCATGATTGAGTCTTCCTGACTAGTGATTTAAATCAAATCTACCCTGTTTGGAAGGCTGTATGATGAGTGGAAAAAATTAATTATAATATCACAAAGGCTGAAAACTAGCAAATGAGATTGAAAGTGATTTTTTGTCAACACATTTAAAACTCTGTTTAACTTCTATTTAAGTACAATGTCTAATCTACATTTGGCTGAAAGACTGTCTTAGTTAGAAGTTTAAAAAAATCCTTTAAACTAAGTTGTGAGAACTCAAAATAAACATCTGAGATCCCCAAGACTTTATAATTGATAGGGAAGATCACATTAAACATTTCTGATACTCTTAAAATACTAATAAAAACAGCAGAAAATAAACATTATTGGGGAAACAAAAAAACTTTCGGATCTCCTTCATACACCAAAAAGAAGCAAAAAAGGTGCAACCCAGCATTTTTTAAATTCTTTACAAGTTATCAGTATGGACTACATTTAAAAAAACATGCACTTAAGCAATCTCACAAGCAAGTCTTCACTGTTTAATTTGTATTACGCATGTAATCACTCATTTCATATTTGTAAAAAATATGTTTTTGAAATTTTAGTCCTAACTATCTAACATTAAGGGCTCAATCCTATTTCCACCAAGATTAGTAGAAATGTTGTCATTGATTTTAATGGGAGTAGGAGCGGGCACTAAAAATACAAAACAAAACACCTTATTACGTTACATCTCAAAGTGGGAGAGAAAAAAAGCTAGTATGATAATCCACTTAAACTAAGTAAGGATTGATTGTCTTGATTATTATCTGACCTGCTGTATGCAGAGTTTTTGTATCAGTATAAAAAAAGGTTACTCACCCTGTGCAGTAACTGAGGCTCTTTGAGTTTTCAGCCTTTGTGATAGTATAATGTCTAACCAAGTGTAGGTTAGACATTGTACTTAAATAGAAGTTAACCAAAGTTTTAAATGTGTTGACAAAAAAATCACTTTCAAATCATCTTCCCTATGGGTGCTCCACTGTAAGTGCCGCAGTGCCCCGTGTCTGGGATTGGAGATCTTCATTGGCAGTGCATATTGGACCACACATGCACACCTCCCTGTCTCATGCCATGAGCAGCAGGTATATATAAGCACTGTGTGATCCAACCGCC